CCCTGGAGAAGGAAATGGCAATCCCCTCCAGTACTCTTGCCTGGAAAATTCCATGGACAGAGGAGTCTGGTGGGCTACAGTCCATGGGGTCACAAAGAGTCAGACACGACTGAGAGACTTCACTTTCACTTTCTTTCTTTAAGTGATCCTCAGTTTCATCAAGAAGATCATCAACCTGATTCTTGGAAAGTGTGACAATCTGAAGTGGTTCCAGTGAACATGGTAAATTTCCTAACTTGAAAGTACTTCTTTGTTATATAAAGACAATGGTTAAGAAATAAAACTTCAAGAAAGACTTCACATGAAAGCAACTTAGACTATGAATAGTTAAAGCTTAACTACAATTTTCACTGGTCAAAAAGAAAAGCAAGATTTCCCAAGTATTTCTTGCTGTGTGGTACATACTCTATGTGGTACATACTCTGTAAGAGAATTTATATTTATTGATCACCTGCTTACCTTGCAGCAGCCTTATGAGGGAGTTGTTAAAAATCTGAACTTATAAGAGAGGAAATTGAGATCAAAGGTCACAAAACCACTAAAATGTGACACTGGAATCTGAACCTCAAAACCTGCTCTCTGAAAAAATCCTATATCTGGGAGTACATGATGATGCAAAATGTACTATCACATCACATGTATAGCATAACCAAAGAACAGGATGTTCTATGTAAAGTGAAGTATTAAATATAATTGAATCCAACTGCCAAAGTGTTTGGCATTTAAGTCTGATTTCCAGTGGGAAGCCAGATACTATGTTTGTAAAAATCATTCATTAATGTTAGTCCGAGTGAGAACCTAAGGGACTGACCTAAAATAAATTCAGTAAATATTATTTACTTTTATTTCTACCTTAGCCCTGGAAAACTGGGGCTGCCAGTAGTTTCTAACTAATATATAGTTGCTGAGGAAATTTTTTAAAAGAGAGAGAAAACTGATTTCTATGAGTGGAACTAGTTATATGATTCATAGAAACTACTCAAACTTTGAGGAATGAACTGCTCAAATTTTTAGGAATGAAGATGGAGGAGTTCCAAATCCTTTTCTGGTTCAATAAATATTTTGTTTATGAAAACACTTGAAATTAGAAATGCAAGCGGGGTCAGCGGAGGGCAAATAAAAACAATGAAACATAAGGGTCAAGAGCTTGGAAAATTCAGTATTGATTCTTGATCCATCATGTATCTACATTGCTTATGGTTTTATTCTCCCCCAAAGAACATGAGTTTGAGTAAACTCTGGGAGTTGGTGATGGACAGGGAGGCCTGGCACGCTGCAGTCATGGGATTGCAAAGAGTCGGACACGACTGAGCGACTGAACTGAACTGAATCACCTTCTGAGACTTTTAGCAACAAACATCATAAATACTCATAAAACTATGCAGCTCTGATGAAGCCAGGCATAGTGCTTGGTTCAGTGGCCTTCCAAAATAAAATTCCAGACACTGATAACATATTTGGTAAAGTAGTATTTCCCGTGTTCACTCTAAATTTACCTCCTGTTGATTTCATTGCATATCTCTTCCTCATTGTCAAGTGAAAAGAGAATACTCAGATTTCAAAATAATTTAGAACATTTAAATCAATACATTCTAGATTTTTTTCTCTTCTCTTTGCCAGGGTACATTGGAATTTATGGTCTCTTTTAGTAATTACTCTTCCCTGGTACCAACTGACTGTCAGCTTTGTTATGACCTGCATTCTAATTGACACATCACAATTTCAGGGAATACAACAAATTGAACATGAAAGCTGTGAGACTAGCTGACATTATAAAGTTCTTAAAAGAAGGGCTGGTATGTGTTTTCCTTCACATGCCCATAGTGTCTAAAACAACATCTCCCTCATGATAGAGCAACGGACAGCTAAAATTTAATATATGTCTACATGTGTCAGACTCTACTCACAAGCCATTGTATGTGTTTCTACAATGACTATATTAATATCTTCATTTTATGGGGAAACTGAGTGACTTGCTTAAGATCAAGCAGCAGGACTGATATTTGCATTCATGTCTGTCTGACTTTTTACTTCACTGTGCGATTTCCTGACCACACTCAGTACCCCAACATGTTAGACATGGAATGTCCTCCTCACAGGGTTGTTTATAACTTTCCTAGTTCTAGCTAGTCTCAAGAGAGAAAACCCTTCTGCCCAGTAAAGCTGTAATTCACAAATGGCCTAATGGTCAATTGGAATGCCACATGTTATGGTCAGTCACTTAGTGCATAATTAGTGTGTAATTAAGAAGTGAAAATTAAGGCACACACAGAACCAGTCTTTGTTAATAGTAATGATGCTTTGGGGACTGAGTCTTTCATTTTCATTATCACTGTACAAAAACATGAGTAAAGGATAGATGGCAATCTGAGAGGAGATAAGAGGAGAATTAAGTGAAAATAAACTAGATTTGTTGACTACTAAAATGTCCTTGAAAGGCAATTTTGCCCAAGTGGCTTTTTTAACATTTACTCTTATTTTCATTATAATCATGTTTGTAATGTTTTCACAATTCTATGGTACTATCTGAAGAATTTTTTTGTAATATTATTGTTCAATGCCACCTGTCTTCCAATAGCGATGCATTAAGTCTCTGCTTGAATAGTCTCAGTAACAGAGAACTTACTATGATAAGAAAACACATTCTTACCTTCACATCAGTCCAAAAAAAAAAACCATTCCTACAGTTTTCTTGAAATTATTCTTTAAGCATGTCTGAAAGAACTATCTGGCAACATGCATTTCTAGGCTGGCTCTTTGGATACTGGAAAAGTCCTTAGTGTTTATCAGCATTTGTGTGTGAAAGAGATAGCTACACATATCATCATATCATGTTTGTGTCACTAATCAAAATCACATGATTTTGTTTTGTTTTTTTTTTTAGTTTTTAAAGACTAAAACAAATATATGTTTCAGCGAAAATTATTTAGTCTTTTTAAAAAATGATCACTTACTCCAGTATTCTTGCCTGGAGAATCCCATGGACAGAGGAGCCTGGTGGGCTACAGTCTATAGGGTCACAAAGAGCTGGACACAACTGAAGTGACTTAGCATGCATGCATGCCCATACTTAGGGCTACATTAATGGTAATTGGCATAGTAAAATAGCACATGGGGAAGAAAATCTCTCAGTTTGCTAAATCTACATAGTTGATGTTGTTTAGAGATCATGGTTGTTTGACATGAATGAAGGCAAATAATTTGTAGCTATTATTATTATGGTAAAAGATGAATTATCTATAGACTCCTATCATTTTATAATTAGTCCCTGAGTACATTTATTCATTACAACATAAAGTTTTGCCAGGGTACATTGGAATTTATGGTCTCTTTTAGTAATTACTCTTCCCTGGTACCAACTGACTGTCAGCTTTGTTATGACCTGCATTCTAATTGACACATCACAATTTCAGGGAATACAACAAATTGAACATGAAAGCTGTGAGACTAGCTGACATTATAAAGTTCTTAAAAGAAGGGCTGGTATGTGTTTTCCTTCACATGCCCATAGTGTCTAAAACAACATCTCCCTCATGATAGAGCAACGGACAGCTAAAATTTAATATATGTCTACATGTGTCAGACTCTACTCACAAGCCATTGTATGTGTTTCTACAATGACTATACTAATATCTTCATTTTATGGGGAAACTGAGTGAGTTGCTTAAGATCAAGCAGCAGGACTGATATTTGCATTCATGTCTGTCTGACTTTTTACTTCACTGTGCGATTTCCTGACCACACTCAGTACCCCAACATGTTAGACATGGAATGTCCTCCTCACAGGGTTGTTTATAACTTTCCTAGTTCTAGCTAGTCTCAAGAGAGAAAACCCTTCTGCCCAGTAAAGCTGTAATTCACAAATGGCCTAATGGTCAATTGGAATGCCACATGTTATGGTCAGTCACTTAGTGCATAATTAGTGTGTAATTAAGAAGTGAAAATTAAGGCACACACAGAACCAGTCTTTGTTAATAGTAATGATGCTTTGGGGACTGAGTCTTTCATTTTCATTATCACTGTACAAAAACATGAGTAAAGGATAGATGGCAATCTGAGAGGAGATAAGAGGAGAATTAAGTGAAAATAAACTAGATTTGTTGACTACTAAAATGTCCTTGAAAGGCAATTTTGCCCAAGTGGCTTTTTTAACATTTACTCTTATTTTCATTATAATCATGTTTGTAATGTTTTCACAATTCTATGGTACTATCTGAAGAATTTTTTTGTAATATTATTGTTCAATGCCACCTGTCTTCCAATAGCGATGCATTAAGTCTCTGCTTGAATAGTCTCAGTAACAGAGAACTTACTATGATAAGAAAACACATTCTTACCTTCACATCAGTCCAAAAAAAAAAACCATTCCTACAGTTTTCTTGAAATTATTCTTTAAGCATGTCTGAAAGAACTATCTGGCCACATGAATTTCTAGGCTGGCTCTTTGGATACTGGAAAAGTCCTCAGTGTTTATCAGCATTTGTGTGTGAAAGAGATAGCTACACATATCATCATATCATGTTTGTGTCACTAATCAAAATCACATGATTTTGTTTTGTTTTTTTTTTTAGTTTTTAAAGACTAAAACAAATATATGTTTCAGCGAAAATTATTTAGTCTTTTTAAAAAATGATCACTTACTCCAGTATTCTTGCCTGGAGAATCCCATGGACAGAGGAGCCTGGTGGGCTACAGTCTATAGGGCCACAAAGAGCTGGACACAACTGAAGTGACTTAGCATGCATGCATGCCCATACTTAGGGCTACATTAATGGTAATTGGCATAGTAAAATAGCACATGGGGAAGAAAATCTCTCAGTTTGCTAAATCTACATAGTTGATGTTGTTTAGAGATCATGGTTGTTTGACATGAATGAAGGCAAATAATTTGTAGCTATTATTATTATGGTAAAAGATGAATTATCTATAGACTCCTATCATTTTATAATTAGTCCCTGAGTACATTTATTCATTACAACATAAAGGAGAGATTTCCTTACTTGTGTTCTCACCATTAATTTCTTGAAGTTCACTGTTAATTCCAACATCTATGGAATTCATTATTTTGTCAATCTGTGTGAAACAAAAAACATATAAAATGAATTATTACATTTGTCTCATGTTACATTTTTGTATTTTAAAATTTTTATTTTTATTTTTTATACAAATTTTAAAGGCTATTTCCATTTACAGTGATTACAAACTATTGGCTGTATTCCCTGTGTTGCATAATACATCCTTGACCCTATCTTTCAGCCAGTAGCTTGTACCTCTTAATTCCTCACCTCTGTATTGTCCCTCCGGCCTCCACTAGTAACCACTAGCTTGTTCTCTGTATCTTTTAGTCGGCTTCATTTTTGCAATACTCAGTAGTTTGTTGTATTTTTTAGATTCCATATATAAGTGATATCTTTCTCTGACTCATTTCACTAAGCATACAGCATTGCATTTTAAAATGACTTTCCACTGCCAGGAGCATATATTCTTGATATTATTGCCACTGCAAAACTCCAATTAAGAGACCAACAGAGAAAGATTTAAAAGGAGGCAGACATCTTTTGAATTGCTTTTAGAAATACAAATTTTATTTCCTTTTCTTAAACTTTCAAAATCAGCTTGCCTTTTCTTTGTATTTCCTAAAATGAACTTTGTTCGGACCTACATGGGTCAGTAAGCTAGACATTGTGTATTCTTTAAACTCAGGAGGGGAAGGAGCTGAGGATAAGTTCATGCGACAACGTCTACCCTCTCCTTGGATCCGAGAGCATGCATCTCATCTGACCAGTGAAGCATGGCCACTGGGACCAAGTTCTGCTTAAATGTTATGACCAGCCATAAGCTTATTTGTAGCATATAATCACAAGAATCTAGGAATGGCAACAACCTGATTCTAAGAGATAAGTTAAATATGTTATTCGCAGAGTTAATAAATATAAGAAATGGATAGATCTAAGTAAACTATCAGACTACTGCTATGGAATTCATAGAAAGATATGACTGTCTGAGCTTAGGCTATTTATGCTTTAAACCTGCTCATCATCCTAGCAGCCTTAGTGAGACAGCAGGTTTCAGAAATGACAATGAGCATTACTTAAATGTCCCATTTTGTTCACCCTGAAACAGATGCAGAGAGATTAAGTGATTTTCTCAAACAGCTCAATTCAGAATGTCAATACCAGAACCATTTCTAGTTCTAGTTCTCAAAATACTCTAGTGACCTATTGTGTTTCAAAACCCAATTCTACTGGCACAATCTTTTGAGAGACAAAATGTGACATTTTAGGATGAAATGCTGAGGAAGAGTGTGGTCCATTCTTTGCAGAAATTCAAGAAAAAGCAAGAGACTTCATTACTTTATGATGGAGTCCTCTTCAGGGAGAAAGGATGACATATGATTAACCTTAAAAGGGCACTTACTTCCTGAGTAACTCCATGAAATTGAAGACTTTGTCTTTAAGTAGAGCTTATATTGGTCACACTGGACTGCACACATTTATCTTTAATGTCCAGTAGTTGTAAAAGGAAATATTAAGTAACTTGTGTTTTTTCGTATGGTACTTGGAGAAGGGCCAGGACCTTTTTGTTTAGTATTAAGATTATAAGAAGCTCTTCTGAAATTATAAGATACTTTAAAGAAGGAAGATGAGCTAACAGAGTTTAGCAAATAACAAAATGATATAAAAGCAAACAAAAATACAAAGATTTTTCTCCATTGTCAGCTGCAATGCTTAGTAGGTCATAATGTGAACATTTTCTTGTACCTCACAGCTAGTTATTACTTCTGCTTGAGATCAATTTCTATGGAAACAACAGATATTCCCTCATGTGTGGAACCGTGTTTGTTTTTATGCTCACTGTGAAATTATCATGTATTACCTCTAGAACTTTTCCTTTCCACTTGGATCTATATGTGTTAGCTTTTTTTTTTTCCTCTGAAAGACTTAAAAAGCTGAAAATCCCTTCCTCAAAACTCGCTTGATGCTAAAGCTTTATGTAAAGAATAACAAGAACAAATCTTACTTCTTCCCATTCGGAAGTGAAAGATGGTGTTCTTTCAGAATTCCCTTTAGAGCTGTGATCCGCAGGTGAAGATTCACTCCAGTTAACTCTTGATGTTTTCTCATTTGAAGGGTAGGCAATAAGATCAGAATCCGATTTAGAGACAGTTTTGGATAAATGCATGTCGATCAGGGCTTTTGGCAATGACCTTATTCTCCCCAGGGTACACGCTCTCTCCACAAATCCCCCAGTGTTCACAATCCACTGGTCCCCATTCCTGGATCCACTTCTAGCTGTTCTTGTGCCAACAATGGTATGGTTTTCAAGTTGGCTGCTTTTTTTGTGAAAAATTGTTCTACTGACCACCTTCGGTTTAATTTTCTTTACCACAGGTTCTGATTTATTTTCTATTGGAGTTTGCTTGAAAGGCAAAGGACTATTTGCCAAACTGACTTCATCTTTTCCTTCTTCACGTTCATCTCTTTTCCCATAGAGATGAAATGGATTTTCAGGAGACTCACAGGCTGGAGAGGATCCATGGAGGAGACCTGCAAATTGCCCAGGATCATATTCTTTTGGGGGCTCATTGTCCTCCTGCTGAGAGAGATCATCTGCAAAAGAGAAAAAAAAAAATGTCTGGATGCTCATTTGGAAAGGACTCTGAAAGCCCTGATACAATAGCAGCACCCTTTAGAACCTGTGCAATGTCCAAACAGTTGATTTATTGTTACACAGTGATACCCTGACTTTATGAAATACCCATGACCCTACAGTGCCATGTATAAAATAAATCTGTGTGTGTACTAGATCTTCCTGATATACCTTAGGGTATATTTCAAACTTATGAATTGGGTATTAATTGAGTAATTTCCCACCCTTCTCCTTTGTCCCCAGGGAGTATATTTTATACTGGATAGCAAAATTAGGTTTTCTTAAAATGGGACACTCATGTTCAAACTTTTGCAGTAAATGAATCATTGTACAGTTAGGACATCAGACAGGTAATCAAGATCATATATAATGACATCCCTTTACCCTTCTCCCAGCAAATAAAGTAAAAAACAAAACCTTGAAAAGAAGAATAATTTGGAATAATTTAAAGGTAATAATCCTAACATGTTACTTCAAATATAAGATTGAGATTAATTCTACACAAATTATATGATTTAGACAAAAAGGATTTGGTCATGCTTAACAGGCAAACAATGCAATATCACTAAAAAGTGAGACACTTTCACAAGAAACTGATGTTGCACTACTAAGACAAAGCTGTCCTTTTCTTTCTTCTATGAAACAGAATTAATTATTTTTCAATTTATTCAGATCTTTGAAAATGTAACCCAGAAAAGAAACCAAGGAAGAATAAAATTTTTATTACTTTATAATTTTTTCTAAGATGAAACATAAATGTTCTCTGAGATTTAAAATATGCGTGTGTGCTCAGTCATGTCCAACTCTTTGTGGCCCCATGGACTGCAGCCCGCCAGGCTCCCCTGTCCATGGAATTTTCCAGGCAAGAATATTAGAGTGGGGTGCCATTTTCCCCTCCAGGGGATCTTCCTGACCCAGGGATCGAACCCTCGTCTCCTTTGTCTCCTGCATTGGCAGGTGGATTCTTTACCACTGCACCCCCTGGGGAGCCCTGAGATTTAAAATACACCATGCTTTTTTTTAACAACCTAATTTGTCTTTTAAAAGACATAGTGTGTAAAAACCTGGCCAAAGAAATCAGCAAAGAGAGTCAGTCTACTTTTTTGACTGATCACTTTAATTAATATTCAGCTAAATATTTGCCATGATCAAAAGTTAAACTACCTGATAAGCCTAATCTTCTGAAAAAGTAAAATATAGCCAATGTGTCAGACAAAATATAACAAATTCAAAGTTGACTTGCTGATTCACAACTTAAAGAAGTTAGTTATTATAAACCAAAAACACCGAAGTTTTTATAAGTTAATAAGTAACATTTACTAGGCATATGCTATTTACTACTCACTAAATTAGAGGTAATATTTATATCCTTTTATGTGATTGTCATAACAATTCTATGAAATGATTAATAACAATCATGGTTTTCTAATCAAAAGAAATTTATCAGAATATGTAAACAAATTGTCAGCCTCAATAAATCTCAATAGATATTTGCCCAATCAGACAAATCAGCTTTCTTAACTGAAGTTTGGCCCCAGCTCCATATGCTTTTGTCTCTCTTGGAGCTGATTAGAAGCAGGTATGATCCTGGCTTTACATATCCTCCAGACCTCACTTGCATTCCTATTTAGCTGTCCCAAATGAAGATGTCCCCCTTCCTAGACCTAACACAGTGCTGAGTGGAAGAAACAAGCGTCAGGATGAGAGATCCATGAGCCAAAGATCTAAAAGAGAAACAATCTGTACCACCCCATACCGTCACAAGTACTTTATCTTCTCATAAAAACTTTCTAGTACACTGGACATGAATTTTTCCCTCCTCTTGCAACAGAGATCTTTCTTGGAGAAGAGTGTGTGGAGCATAAGGCAAAGCAGCTTAAACTCTCTAAGGCTAGAGTATATGCCCTATTACATCCATTTTTTAGAAGTCAAAATTTACACATAGACAACTTATATTGTTAAATTTCCCCAGCTAATAAGTAGTTAAGCTGAGATTCAAACTAAGGCCTATTGGATATTCATATCCATTGGCCTGGAAAATTTATTATTAAGATAAAAGAACAATCTAGGGTTCAAGGACAACCAAATAGGCTCTTTGTGGGAAGAGATATGTCTCTCTGTTTATGACTATTTCTGGAATTTGGAAAAAAGTGGATGAAAAGGATTTTTTTTTCCTGCTTCGTGGAGGTAAGCTAATACTAAGAGAAAGTAAAATATGGTGTTCTGTTTCCATTTATTGTCTCCTTTTTCTTGCTGGACTGCTTGGCTCTCCTATAATGCTTTATACCATAAATAGGTTGGTGACAGTAATGGGTAAACAATGCAGAAGGAAGAAAGAATTATGAAATAAAGAAGTTCAGAATTTTATTGTGCAAGTTGCTGAAGAAGGCTAACGGGTTTGGTATGAAAGGAAAAATTGAAATAGGGAACGGAGTATGTCAAGGCTGTATATTGTCACCCCGCTTGTTTAACGTATATGTAGAGCACAGCATGAGAAATGTTGGGCTGGACGAAGCACAAGCTGGAATCAAGATTGCTGGGAGAAATATCAACAACCTCAGATATGCAGATGACACCACCCTTATGGCAGAAAGCGAAGAAGAACTAAACAGCCTCTTGATGAAAGTGAAAGAAGAGAGTGAAAAAGTT